TGCCATTGGATCGCAGAGAGACACGGGATTGGCTGAGGCCAGGTGGTCCAATATGTCTGCGCCCTAATCCGACGCCACACATTGTATTGGTTACAATTATAAAATTCGAATTCGGTTACTAAGACAAATTAAAGCATATTGCTACTTTTAGTTCATTTCCTCAGTCGCACTTTTTTGGTATATTCTGGTAACCAATCGATTTACGAGGTACAGTTTGTCTTTTATATCCTCCGTTTTTTTCATTTATCGTTATCAAATTGCTTGAAATCACTTGCTTACTTTCACTCTAATCCAAAGCTTTTTGTGATGCCCTGATTGACTTTAATTTAGCGCTGACTACCCTCCTACCTCTCAGCTTTCCGCCTTTGGTTTGTTAATTTAGCTAATGTTGTTCATCCCTGGGACTTGAAGCGGTGTGGGCTGTTGATTTGTGTTTCGTGGTATTTTTCGCATTTATGGCTAGATCGCACTTACTTTGTGCATATTTTCGTGCTGGGGATTTAAAACAACTTTTTTCCTGTTGATTAAATTCTTCCACAAGCTTCGGAAAGGCCTTGGTGTGCCTTTGACACACCCGTTTTCTTCTTAATTTTAACGTAATTCACCGGAAGTTGGGATCTTTTGGATAAGTCATCTTACTTGAAAGGAAACAGTTTTTTCCCCTGTATCTGCTTCATTATTTGTAATAATGCAATTTTGCAAAGTTCATACGTTTTAATTCACTTTCCCTTTTTTCAAGTCGAGCAATATTTTCTATGACACACATTTTGATGTTGTCTTACCACCATCACTTTGGGGTTTAGCCGACTGAAATACGTTTTATTCATTGTTGATGACTAGATGCACTTTGTTTTAATGCAAATTTGTAAATCTATCAGATCCAGGTTCCATATTTAGCTAACTGTTGTCGTTTATTCCGTTTTTTGCTGCTCTAATAATCTTTTGCGCCAATCCCTTGTAGTCGTATGGAAAGTGGTGACTTGGAATCCCTGTCGCGAGTCGAAATGTACCCCAACAATCGAACACCAAATGCCATTAACCCGAAATCCCATCGATTTCCACACTCCATTGTGTGGACTCCTCTTCCTGTCATCACGTACGTCTGGCATCCTTGTCTTTCAATACCTCCTTAGATGGCTCTTTCCACTCATCGGACATACCGGAATTACCAACTCCAAAGGCCTGATCTACGATTTCGCCGGTCCCTACTTTATAAGCGTGAGTTTAATTCATTCCTTGTCCATCTCACTAACTTCCTGCTAATTTTCGTTTGCACTCACCGAAATCGTTCCTGGCAATGTGAGGAAGTAGCTTCCAGTTGTATTGATGTTGTTGCAGCATCTCGTATGCTCCGCTCCAAATGCTATTAATGGAGAGTTTTATTGGGCTTCCTGCCTTTTAGGAGGACAACATGGCGTTTGGGTGGCCAACAAGGTACCTGCAACTCGACATGGACTCTGTCGGCGGAGCGGAGAACTGGGACAGGGCTGTCTACGAGGCCAATACGAAGTACAAGGGTCGAATGGTGAGCCCTTTGAGACTGCTTCAGCTTTGTTCCCCGTTAGTTTTCAGAGTGATAAGCCTTCCCCTTCTCTAGCACAACCTCTTCTGTGACAACTGTCACAGCCACGTGGCCTACGCGCTCAATGAAATGGGATACAAGGGCTCGACCAGCTGGAATATGTACAGCGTTGGCTGTTTAATCGGATTTCGTGGAAGGTTCTTGGGGTGAGTGCGCCGATGTTGTCTTCATCCTATTCGTTGCATTTCCGGGTTCTGCTTACTTTGTGTAGTTTGGACGTCTACACTAACTCCCAGAACGGATCACAAGGCATCGATTTGGTTTCTGTTTTAGTTGTCTCTCTTTTCTCCGCACTTTCGGTCCCTGTCTGGCGATCTTCTCTGTCTTAATCGCTATTTTCTGTCTCTTGTAAAAACCTCCGTTCGGATGGAGTGTTGCTGTGATTTGTCATCATCGTCTGCCGCCTGACTACTAGTTGTCCCCTTGATAATATTACATTCATTTTGTTGCCCCACCACCCTGAAAATGCCTCTCTACTTTTTATTTGATAGTGGTGTTGATGTTATAAGACCGACTACTGGGAATCAGAGGTGGAGTCGTGTCGGCTTCGTGCTTCACGGCGTAGATGTGGAATGAAGATTTCGGATATGAATGCAAACACATGTCGGCGTGGTGAAACTGCTGTCTGTTGAGCACATTATGCGGGATTGTGGGTTGCCGATTCGGTATTTCCGAGCCTTGTCTTCGACGGGCTATGTTCGGTGTCTCATTCACGTGTCGCAACCCACCTTCGCACCGTAGATCACCCTTCCAACGTTGGTATGAGATCCATGGACCACGACGCGGTCGGTAGTCTTAAACGTACGCGGGAGTCCCAACCTTGGTTGGCGTAGTTGGTTCCATGCGAGGAGGCGAAGGATCTGTAGAAGTCCCCAAAGAATTCGCGGTGGCCAGCTGGTACTAAAGGGAGCCCTTGTCCACGTCTGCGATTGGTTGCTTCATTAGTCGCGGGCTTTTGTAAATAGTGCTAATCGGGATAATGGTGAAATCCGATTGGTGGGTCCCCAACAGAGGCCATGTATTCTGTGATGAAATGTGAGTGATTCGCAAGGATTTTGTGCGGAAAGTAAGTTGTCTTCGATTGAGGCGGTGGGAACACCTCAAGGCACCTTGGTCGAATTCCCACATCATGACAAAATGCAGAGCTTGAAGGTAGCTGTCGCGCGCCACTCGATTTTAAACTTGTTGCTTCAGGAAAGATTTCTTTTCGAATGTAGACTTTGATTCACTTGTAATAATTAAAATGAGAGGAAGTAGAACTGGAATACTAGGTTCCACACGGTTGGTAGTCGGTTGGGATGGTTTTAGCACCTTTCTTAATAATAATAATGGTTACTTATACGTTAATAGTAGTCATTCAGTTTTGTGGTGTTGCAGCGAAAACCGTCTTGAATTCAGAACTTCTAGTGACTTGGCAAAGCCAACCTTCGCATTATACCAAGTCAGGTAACCAAAGCAACTAACATAAAGCTGTTTGCCTAGCCTAAAACTACCAGAAGTGAGGACCTAAGCCGAGATCCATCAAACGTTGCGAAATGTGATCTACGACCGAGCCATTCCAGAGAATGTGACCGTGGGGTTAAGCACGAACAGTCCGATTTGTCACAGTGGCCACCCTGTTTCCTTTAATCACTCAAACACTCGTAAACGCCTGGTTAATTGCAGAATGCACCGTAGGCTTCGAGATTGACGTCCTGCGTCCGACAGAAATCACTCAACAACTTGTCCGCCCGATTTGTCCATCTCCAACCCTCCTTCATTGTGGGACACGTGTCAACGCTTCTGTCAGCGACTCAGAAACCCGGCCTCTCGATTAGCCAACCAGAGCGAATGTAGCTGTGTCGGTACACGCTTAATGCCTAATGATGACTCTAATCTTTCTCAAGCGCGCGCTCGTTGGGCGGCAGTCCGTGTGGTATCCCTAAGGCAGCGGCGGCGGAGGGGGTTGTGGTGGTGGTGGTGATGTACCGCCAAGGGAGCGGCAAGATACCATCTTTCATTGTGGATGAGGCGGTGTTCTCCTCGCTTTGAGTGCGTGCGTGCGTGCGCGCGTGCGTGCATGTTGCTTTTTTTGCCTCATTCTCTCTTTCCTCCCTCTCTCTCTCATTTCGCCGTCACTGTTCTCTTTACAAACTCGTCGGGCGTGATTAATCCTCTCCGGTTTATACGACCTCTATCAAGTACCGAGTTATAGGGACGAAATAGCTGCATAGATCACGATTCCTGGGGCTCTCAGGCATCGAAATTGTGCACGTGGGTTGAGTCGGTTTGAGGCCTGCTATTGGTTTATTCTTCAGTAAGCAATAACTGCGCGATATCATCGATAGAATATTGATTTTGTGTCAACCAAAAGCTCTGTTTTTGAACATGGCTTCTTACTGCCATTTGCAAGCAGGAGTAACGGCGGTTCAAACGCTGTAGGTCCACTCCGCCAATCACATTCCAGGAGGAAAGTTACCAGCGATAAGGACATGAAGCGTTGCCTCAGACGAGATTCTTGACAATCTTTTGACTAAAAAGGCTATATTTTCTGCAAAATTAGTGCTTTTATACAAACTAAGGACCTTGGTCGCTGGATTAGGAAGCTGGTTGCCATGAGATGTAGGCACGCCCAAGGCCACAGCATCCTCAAGGTCAGATGGTCTTGACTACTTCCTCTTACCCCGCCTCCCTCCCTACAAACACAACAACTCATCGTTGCCTCGGTAGCGGAAGAGGAACTCTTTTTTCCGAGGTTGGAGTCAAGAGGTCCTGAGGAGGAAAAGACGTGTGTATAAAGAAACAATTTTTTTTGCCAGTTTCAATGGAGTGATCTGCGGTCATTGAAGTTGCATTCAAACATTCCCTAGGGGCTAAGAACAGAAGACCGTATTTTAAAGCGATTGCCTCTCCAGTGAAAACCCAGGTCTGAATTTTCACACTAAACTAACTTTACGGAATTCCACAGCGTCGTTACATGCTATTTTCACTTTAAACGCATGTTGTGTTTCAGCATAAAGGTTTATCGACATAAGAACACCACACATAGTCATATTTATGAGCAAAACATGTATTACCGCTTCCAGGTCATGTGTTTTGCTTAGGTAGCATCGACTTTATTTGAATCTGCCGTGGCATCGTGTTGTACCCATAGAAAATCGATGACACCGGTGCTGCTCATGTACTCCTTAGCGAAAGAGTAACGCAATCTGTTTTGTTCAGCATCGGAGAAGTCGATGCCAAGAAATGCCTGCTTGAAATCCAAGTGAAACAGCCTTCAGATAAGACTGAGAAGGCCAGCGTTGACGGAGGCTCAAACGTTTATTAGACGACCACATTTGGGTGTGTCCAGTCGTGGTTATGCTGCGGGTGTGTTTACGTAGGTTGTCAGTAGAACTATGGAGCGTGTAATCACGCAGGCACACGGTGAGGGGGTCCACATCAAGGCGTCAAGGGGTTAATTCCTGGAAGGGGGTCATTTGGCCCAACGGGGAAGCTGGGTAGTTTAAGTAAGGCATGATACAAGATACGCCTCAATCTCTAAGATGTGCGTCAACAAATATATTTAACATGACAAATGGAATATTGTCCATTGTCTTCCATGACCTTGAGCCATCACTCAGGTAACGTACGAATGCCGTCGCGAAAGAAACTTGCAGGATTCGAGGCAATAGAGTCATCATCGACGACAACTTTTCACACGCCGTCCAGCGTTTCCAACTGCTTGTCCACTAAGGCTTGTTGTTGCACTGAACGCGACAAGTGATAGTCAGTCTTTGATAAAAACTGTTCTTAATTTATATCGTTTGCCAAAACTTTACACTTCGACGTTGGGCAGATCACAATGTGGTGTTTGGGGAGTGTTAATTATAAATTGACCAATCAGAAACCAAGACAATGCTGTCCCCCGGCCGGTAATTTTAAATTTAAAACTATGCCAAATTTGGATTTCTGTGGACATTCCAAAACCAGGAGTCACTATGCAACCCTCATCGATGTATTTCCAATAATTAAACTATTATGTGTGTGACATATTTTTTTGCAGATTTTTCAACAATTTTTTTAATTTAAAAAAGTAGAGAACAACGAATTGAAACTCGAAAGAAACTGTCCGTTATTTCCCATCATCGTGCGGTCTTCTGGGCAATAAGCGCATTGACGAATCTGCGTACATTGTCCAGCGTTTTAAAATTTTACCTACTACGACGTGCTACATTGACCGCGACAAGTGACAGTCGGATGGGGCCAAGTCTGGTGAACATGCCCATCCCAACATGAGATGGTCGAGCGTTGTCATGCAGCGGCAGCAGCAGCAGTATGACTCGTCTGCTTCCTTGCCAAGTAAATGGCCTTTTCTTAGCAAGTTCTTCGCTCGGTTTGTTTAATTTTCGGCTGTAGTGTTCCGCAGTCACCGTCTGACGACCGGTTTCCAGGAGTTCGTAATAGAGTGCACCCTTCGTGTCCCACAAAACACACATGAAAGAACCACCTTCAAGTAGATGTCCTGTTTCGGTGTCAATATATAGGGTTACCCGGAATCTAACCACGACGTTTCACGTTTGGGATTCTCATACAAAACATACTTTTTCAGCATCCATCACAAATTTCCACAAGAAGTCCTTTCTTATTGCCGGTAAGTGAGCAGTGATAGGCGTGTGGTCATGCCCTGACCTCAGTCAGCACAAAAGAGGAGAGGACCCAACTTCCAAGTTTTCGAATTTTTCCCATTTGGTGCAAACGCATGAAAATAGCTATTTGGGAGACTTCTAACTGAGCTGCAGGCTCTTGTTGGAATTTTCGTAAAATGCAGTATTTATCAGTTGCCATCGTACACTCTGCTATTCTGTAAAGTTACGTAGCTCCCGTAAATTTGCAGTTTAATTTTCTGAAATTTTAGGTTTAATTCTTCCAAACAGCAAAAGATTGTGGGAATATTTGTGTTTTAGACATGATTTCCAGCTCGAAGAAAAAAAAACTTGTACAACTTAGGTCATACACCGAATGGCAGTCTCATATTTCAAAGAGCACAATTTTGTTTATAAATCATTACAACCTTTCAGTGAATAACCAAACACTCAACTCAGACCTGTGTTCAATGACTTTTTAAAAAATGATTTCGGGATTCAGATGGTATAATTTCATCGACTTGATGGCGTCTTTTTATAACACAATAATGTCCTTTTTCGCACAGCTAATATAGAAAACGCTGTAATTTAAGCTCAATTGTGAGGTTCTGCCAAATTCTCTAGTCTTGGTTCGACCGCAATTCAGTCTCTTCTACCACCATCCCACAACACTCGTGAGGTGGTGTTAGACAGATTTTTTGAGTAACAATTAAGTTGGAAAGAAACCGTGGCGATCGTAGACAACTACGACAACATCACAACGAAGCTACCAAACGAGATTGAGTTGGGTTGTGAGAAAGAGGAGTTTCGTGAGTAGACCGTTGTGTGTGCGAATGCGTGAGTGACCGGTCGTATAACAAACACACATACACACTCGTGCACTCCAACCACAGTTGGCAGTAGGCTCGCCACAGATTCTCATTCGAGATTCGCAGCCCACACCTCTACTGTTTACAATCTTAGTAAATACCACAGGTCTATAAACATACCGTGGTTGGGCTACTGACGCCTATTTTCGCATTACCCTGCAGGTAAACCGAGTGTCAGTGCACGTTGTGTAGCTGTTTATAATCTACTCGCAGGTACGTCTCTGCCGCAGTTAAGGACCTCGGAGGCTGCGTGCTGAGTCGCAGCGGCGTGGATTTGAGTGACAGTTAAGCGCGTTGACTCAACTACAGCGGCTGACGTGAGATTTTGCTACCACCGCGGCTTCCATTTGTGGCTGTGGCTCTGCGCAACCACCTACGATCATCCGTTTCCCTCAACATCTAAGTGGCAAGAATTTGATGATGAATTCCTTCCGACGGAGCTTTACTCCACCGCCCACCACGATCAAGGAAGAACATATCGTCAGCCGGGCTTTACAAACTCCAATACTACCGCAAATTTTACCTCCCTCGGGCGTAACAAGATCTGGGATAATCTAGGTCGCCGCACTTCGTTCTTTTTACTGCCACGTGTAAAAAATCAGGTCCTTGAGTACACCAAAAAAGCTTCATTCTGGACTAAAGAAAGCCACAAACTCCTCGCCGTATTGAACTCAACTTAACCACCAAAACAGTGGAACTTGATCGCAAAAAACCACATCTGAACTTGGTAGTTCCTCGAAGGATCAAATTTCACATTCGCGTTTGGGCGCGTGTTAATGGACCTTGCCCTCGTCACTGTACAAAAAACGCGTGTTCTCGCCTTGGTATTCAGACATTTTCTGATTTAGTATTGTCGCTGTTACTGCTATCGCGAGTGCTGTTGTTGTTGTTGTTAATATTACTCAAGTGCACGCGCCCAGATGTAAATCGCTGACGTCCAAGCCCCCTGAATAGAGCCCCCTCCGAGGCCTGGCAGATGATACTGCCGATGATGAAGCCCGACAGTTGGTGTGTGTGTGTGTGCGCGTGTACGTGTTTTCGTGAATAAAATGTGGGAACGATTGCTTTTTTTCCTCGTTGCATTATGCCTTCATCGGCGGTGACGCGCAGATGGAATACACGGGTGTTTGACGCCGTGTGACGGACTCATCAACTTGCCACACACCTCCCCCCACCCCAACCCGACTTTCATATTTTTAATGGAGAGAGAGAGAGACCTGTCTTCGTAGGACCGGACTAGCCCCGTCGACTTTGGATTAATAATCACTGCCGTCGCAGGGCTAGGGCTTTGCCATAAAAATGACGCTTTTTGAAGCGCACGAGTAACAGCTGTGAACCACCCTACCGTAGACTCGCCTTGATCAATAAAACGCAATGCGAAATGCTTTTGAGCACTTTCTTCTGGTCTACAATGTTGCAGCTAATTGACAGTTCCAACCGCCCACTCATTAGCTATTCTCTTAAGGTCAATGACTAAAATCTATTACCTCGTAGCCATTAGCGGAAATGATCACGCCGTCTAAGCATTGATTGTCAACTCAAACAGACGGTTTAGGCCTTACAACGAACAAAGCTAAAGCCAGAGTTGATTCTCGGCAAGATCTGCTCAGAACATCACCGTAGTAATGCTGGAATCTGGAGAGCACGTAGTGCTAGCTAGATTGTCGTCGTTGGTGGTAGGTTGCACATTTCACCCGCAATGTCAAAATGCACCATGAAAGCTTCCAAGCTATGAGATGGAGGTCATGCGCATTCATTACTTTGGTTGTCCTTAGCTTTCGGCGTAGGAACACTACAGTACGAAAGGGTGCCGGCATTTTTATCCTTTTTAAATGTAGGGAGTTTACAACCGTCGGCAAGACCGTGTCAAATCGACGAGTTGTCTGTAGACTGAAGGAGGATAGACGGCGAAGTATGCACCACGACGACTAGCCAGTCAGCGAAGTACTCAATGAATGCTTGACGTCACACTTTAACGACCTTGAGTTTAGGGTTGATGCTGCGACATTTAGTAGCACACATACACACACGTACACTGTCAGTTCGACACTAGTGGCACTTAACTCCACGCAGTAGTTTTGCGGATTGACAGACATCTAGCACTATGGCTCCTCACACGAGAAGTGTAGCGTTGATTGAGAAGCACACGTGAGGAACTAATTGGCATGGGATGCACACGCATTCCTCTAGCACTTAATGATCACTGTGATACGCCATGCTAACTCGCTCGCATCCACGCTATTGGGTGTTAATATTGCCAAGAAGTCGTGTTGCATCGGATTTCCAGTAAGCTTGAACTTTCTAGGTACAAAAGCAAACCCTCTGGATCGAGAAAAGCCATGACTTATCGTGAATCACATTCATTTCCCGATAATCAGCACCTGGCTACGGGGGTAGCATTTGAAAAACGTGGATTCGACAAGTCAATCAGGTACGGCAATTAAGTAAACATGAAAGAATGAAATTTTGATCAAAGAAATACCATTGGCATGAAATAAAATGGGATTTGCGTACTTACATGTTGGCAAATCTTGCACTTGTATCCTTTCGCGGCGTGGCCATAGATTCCTGGAAGGCCGTCCATCATGCCAAGTCCTCCACCCATTGTTGGGGTTCCATCGACCGACCCAAACCCCCCACGAAGTCCGACCCCTCCGGTGGGGTCCAATTTGGTCTCTCCTGACAAGAAGTCGGGTAAAAATCCTCCGGCATGGAGCCCTAAAGGATGTCCACCGGCGGCTGCTGATCGAGGGTCCACGACCATTTCGTTGGCAGCATCTCGCGCCGCCTGTGCTGCCATCGCTGCCGCCATGGCCGCGGCTTCGGTAGAGCCTCGTCCGTGAAGGCCCCCACCCGGACCCTTCGACATGGACGGCTGGAAGAGGTAATTTGAGTTCATAGATGCGAAGACATCTCCACCGCCGGGACCGCCTCCACCTTGAAGGTGCTCCGCGACTGAAGAGGAGGGTGGGACATGCATTGGAGGAGGGGGCTGCATTTGTCGATCGCCTTTTGCAACCGCCTGCAAGGCCAACGCCATGGCCGTAGCCGAGTTGAATTCATTCGAGGGCCGCTTCAGACAGTAGGACGGAGCCGAGCTCACAGAAGGCGACGCACTTGAGGAAATGCGACCGTCGAGGGGTGACGACGACGCGTTTTGTAGGCTGCCCGTGGAGGAGTAGTGCCGCTGAAACTGTTGCTGGGACACCTGCTGCTGTTGCGCCCCAGGGGAAATAGGGGGGTTGTGGTAAGCACCGCTGTTAAGCGGAGAAGAACTAGCTGAGTTGATTGTGGGGGGTTGTTGTTGCTGCTGCTGTCGACCGTTCATGAGCGTCCGCTGGTCGAAGGGCGGAGGGGGAGGAGGAGGTGGAGGAGGAGGAGCCAGAGGGGGAGCATGAGGGGGCTGGTGCTGCCCCGTAGCGGACATCCGATTCACGCCGGATTGGTTGTTTATACCCTGCATTTCCGAGACGGCAACTGCGGCTGCGGCAGCTGCCGCTTCCCGTTGTTGTCGCTGGTGTTGTTGCATCTGCTGCAAGGAGGGCACAGGCCCTCCAGCTGAGTAAGGGAGACGGGAGTAGAAAGACTCGAGAGATGTGTCCTGCTGCTGTTGCTGATGCTGAAGACCCTGTTCGAATCCCCCACCCCCAGACATCGGCGGTGAGGAGAGCCCTAGGGGTGGGGTCGACTGCGGATTTATTGGACCCGCATTTGATGAGGGCATGTTGGGATAGCCCGTGGCGGCCCATGGCCAAAGGAATAGTCCGGTGCGAGCCCTCGGATCGGTTCCGGTTACATCCATGTGAGGAGAGTGTTGGAAGGCGGAGGTGAAAGTGTCATGTAGTGCTATTGATCTGAGCTGCGAGAGAGTGAGAGTAGTGTAGAAAAAGCTAACCCGCGCGCGCTACGAAGTATTCAAAAATTGTGTGTGTGTGTGTGTGTGTGCGGGTGGGTGTGTGTGTGTGGAGATACCCCAGCAAGTGTTGAATGGACGGACGCTGATACACACGCACGCGCGTCCTCCTGGCTGATGCCGTAGCGCAGTACCTACGTTCTTTTTTGAAACACGAGCATGTCAATTATATATATATATGTACATACACATATACATATATATATAGCGGGTGTGCGCGTCGTAACGATGCAGCACACAGTCTACGGCAGCGCGGTGATAGGGGATCGTAGTGAGTGTGCGTGCGTACGTATCGGTCGGTGCGCGCCTAGAGGCAGAAATAGAGGGCGCACGCGAGGTAGAAAGAGCGAGCAAGCACACGAGCGGCCCTTCTTCTTGCGTGAATACGTATATCTCCGTTGTGTCACCCCAGTGTGTGTATGTGGACACAGGCCCGCTCAATCATTGGCCTAGCGCATCATCCAATCAGCGTTCGACAGACCATGTGAGTAGCGCGCATGTGTACGTGCAAACCTCGTCGACCCTTGGCCGCCCTTCACGCGCTAAGGGGAGAGCTTGCGTATGTGCAAGCGTTGCCTTGACGACGCGTGCGTCAATCCGTGGTAGGACAGGTATAAGCGTAGCATTATACGTGCACACGCGCCCAAGCAAGATCCTCCCGATTGCGATACGCACGTCTTTCACGGAGTGCCATGACTGCAAATAACCCTGAGTGTCATTGTCCCACATTGATCCCATTTCACGCGTATTCCTGAGCAGGGATGCCGTAAGCGAGGATTCGTGTAAACGTGAGGCCTTGATAGGTCCGCCTCGCAGACTGCCTCGCGCCGACTGAGGGCCAAACCAGACTAGCTTGGCCTATTTATATAGGCGCAAGCAATTGTGCACACAACATAAATTACCATCTGGAATCTGGATTTTGGACAAGACCGTCAGAAATCTGGCTCTCGCTGGTTGTGCGCCTAAGTGTACTTAGACGAACAGGCGTAATCACAGCTGATTGGGTGTGTGTGTGTGTGAAAATACACAGCCGTGAAGTAGACTCTTGGTAGTCTGTCAATGGTAGTCAGACCCAAATATCATATCTATTCACAAGTCACTTCCAACTCTTGTCTTGCTAATGCGTCCGATTATTGATATAAAGTTTCAAAAATATTAAGGGTGAATTTCGGAGGAAAACGCAACGGGGCATCACCACAACTCGCGATAATACTTAACAATAAGATCGAGGATTCGAACCCATCAATTCCGGCAAATCTGATTACTTCTAGTGGTAGAATTTTTATAAATTGTTTCGGATCCTGAAGTCCGCGTTCCCTTTTGTAAATTGGCATTTTTCGATATTGTTATGAACCGTTAGTCCCTCATTTCACAAGTTATCGACTGTGATTGCAACGTTTAACGAAATTTTTTTATATAATCATTGCACCATTTGGCAATTTAAATATAGTTAACCTCATTGGCCACAAATAAATTACACAGGTTCTGCAAATATCGACCAGTTTCCTAAAAGAAAAAGCTATTCACCGAATTGGTTGCCATGATGCGATCAGGTTGACCTTTGAAGCTAGGACACCCGAGCACTAAAACACCGAACAACGCTTGAGATCGACCTTGAACCATCACTAATGCATGAACTTTGTTTCCCAAAAACTATTCTTTCCTGGACAATGTCAAGTTTACCGGTCGACAAAATGTTATCAGCAATTGTTAAACGCAAATCTCCTGATCAACAAATTCCCACAAGAAAGGAACACGAATTGGAACCCATAGCATGCCATGGTGACCACGAAAAAACTGGAGACATCCTGGTTTCGTTAATTGCACGAGTGGTCAAATAAAAAATTGCATACAAACTCCGTGGATGCGGGATGTGGAACACACTAGACACCAAGTTGGAAGTCGTGGCCTCATCGAAAATACCGGTAGCTTCTTATCAAGAAACAAAAAAAACCATTAAAATGAGCTTCGAAGCGCCAGAGAATGGTGTTTGGCCGTTTCGTCACAGGTTTAACTAATTTTTTTCCACCAGCTTTCTGTAAACAGTTGGTCTCCTGTCAATTAAACCGTAGTCCAGCGTAAACTAAAAATATTTTAACAAGTGGCGTGAACGTGCCTTTCGGCAAATAGACATGGGTTTGCATAAACTCCTAACGAATCAGTTCCAGTAGCGCGTTTTAGGTCAAGCAGCTCACTGAACAACCCGCCTATAATGTGTGCTTTGTACAATTCTTCCCCAAATTCATAGCTCCCATTTAGATTAGATGTACATACAGAGAATAACTTTTGAGGATTAATGTTTCAAAGAGACCTAGCGCGAACTCTGGTTCAGACACATGCCCTATCAATAAATCGATTAGGACCCACTCCTTGGGACTGGATATTGACATCTAGTCCCATTGGGCATGAATAATTTAAGAGGATTGTTCACTAAATAAAATGTGTTTAAATAATCTTTATTGATCAGCTGTTAATGTGTACTTTCAACCGCTCTGTCATTTGGTTTTCACGCGACACTAAATTTCAAAATCAATCAATCGCGATAATCCACAGTTTTTTTTCAATATCAAGTTTATGATGGCTTTCTAAGGGCCCAGGGAAGCTTGTTTGTTGCTCGTCAGATTGCTGGTTGAATAGGCAGAAGAATTGGGTGCATAATAGCAGAATGGAGGTGTTCTGTGTCCTTGTGGCGAATTGACTGCCACCCGCAGACTTCCCCATATACATTTCCATGAGAAGGTTGTGAAGATGTGTAATCCACGTCGTCTGGTAGTTCAAAATTTACAGTCTGCTCTCATTAAGGAATATCGCTTACCTTTGTCTAATCTTCCACAATTTGAATGAAGTGATTAACGATTCCAGTAAAAATTCATTGACTTGGTAGACGATGTCGTTTGGCAGAGAGTTTCAAGTTATGGTAATCCAAACGAAGGGCCACATCATTCCTATGAAATTACAAGTATTCACCAGCCGCTCCAAGAACAGTACGCTTTTCGAAAAAGAACTGGCCGATGCTGAATCTCCCCATGAAGGAAACCAGAAAAGATAAAATTTGACATTTTGTAGAATTCATGATTATTTACCCTACTTTGTGATACTTCTTGCTGCCAATTGCAGCTCTGTGATGCCATATCTAACCAATCCAACCACTTCCCACTTGGCAATTAATTTACACGCAAGTGAGCGCCATCGATGACATGATTTAGTCCGCACTATGTCCAATTCAAGCCTTTCCCTTGTCTGAAAGATTTCCAATAAGAGACCTATTCTAGGTACCATTCATCATTCACCACCTCGAAAATGCCGAAGACATAGGCTGATCCTTCTGGATATTACCACTACCGCGAAGTCGACAGAGGCCCCATAACAGTGGTTTCAAAATGTCATTTTCCGCTAACACGTCTATGCGTTGTTTTTCAAATTTATGTCTCACTGTGCCTTTAAAGTTTGTGCGCTGGAACTTGTGGTAATGGCGGAATCCCCCACCCCTTTTTACATCCCTCTGCATCTCTTCCTCTTTCTCTCTGCCTCTCTCTAATTCTAAAGTAACAAATGGAAAGGATTTTTTCGCTTCTCTATACCGATGGCTTTTTTTCTGCCTAATACAATAGCTACACCTGGAAATGTAAAATGAGCGGCTTGTTTTCGGCTTTTTTTAATGTCGAAAGGTCTCAGGTGCTTGACAGAAGAGACCTTGTGATGAATCCGGCCGACGTTTTTGCCCTGGGTATGCTTATTCATGCCTGGATTTGAAGACTATGCAAACTGCCGCCTAAAAGTTAATTCCGAAATTACGGTGAATAATTTGGAGACGTAGCGCGTTGTTTGAAAAGCCATGCATCCAGGCGTGACTTAAAATGTAAACTAGACTCCACGGGGCCCTTCCAATTTTGCTGAAAGACCTTAAAAACGCAGTGGTACAAGAGTTTCCTTCGACAGGTCAGCAAAACTCAATCAAGTCTCAAGTGCACTGCTGATGACGTTGACTGTACAGCCCAATGGGGAGGTAAGGCTTCTGAGCAGACAAAGGGTGGTACGCAGAGAGGACCCTGGGAGGTGGCTGTTAGCTCTGCAGTAAGACCATCTCATAAGTTGAAGCGAATTTTATAGAGGCTACCGCCTGACAAAGGCATTTCGTCAGTGCATGGGAAGTACAACATCTGTTCGACTTTGTTGCGATTGTGAACGGGGCATAATTACATCACACTTCAGTGAGGCTTCGTCGAGGCAGTTGCCTATATGAAATTGGATGCGAAATTGGGGAATAGGCGACGATAGGTTTGCTTACTTGCGTTACATGGCGATTAGAAGAACTGGATTCCTGGCTGTGACACGCTGATAAAACGCAGTTTAGGCGAAACAGCAGTGCAGCATCCAGCGAGACGCATTTTTGCATCAGGCACCCGTCATTCCGTAAACTTAGCCTCGATGGGAACGTGTAAGTGCAGTCGACTTTGGCAGGTAAGCGGTTAGCACGCATTTACGGCTACCACCTCTCGATGTGTGTCTGTGTGGGCTTGCGTGCACTTCAGTAGTAAATTTGCTTGGCATCGCATCACATCACTTTAAACAAAGCACTTATTTGGTTTATATCCGAGTTGCATGCTAAAATGAGCAAAATAGCTGATGATTCTTATCACACTTTGTGTGGAAAATAACGCACTACGGATTCTCGATTGGCGTCACATGGTTCTAACAATAAATTGACTATCGTCGGAGTTGCAATCCCCTTAATCCAATGGTGAAAGTGCTGGGACGGTGACACAAACATGTAAAGTAAAAGAAGTTAAAATTCAAGCTCATTTTGCTGGCTAATTTTGGGTGAGCCCTCCATGTGACCTTGGACTGCCTATCCACCAATCAAATCGGAAATGTTGTTTCTCAATGCCAATGTCAAGTTTAGCATTGGTCTCAATCGTTAAAAAGTGAGGTATTTTTGAAATTTAAACAAGGCCTGCTACAACTTGCTCCAGCGTCAGTATGTTGCAGACTGGAAGCAGACATTTCTGTCGAAAATCCAAGACGAGATGTAATGTATACCCCCAAGTGTATTCAGACGTCTTAAGTTCATTTATAAACACATCAGCGCAGTCAATAAATTTGCGTGAATCAGACAGACACTTCATGAAGCTAACACTGGACACTGTGACTAAGTCAGTTTCACCTGTCACGCCGTTAAACACAAGACACTGGGTGGGGGTGTCGCATACAGGTCTAATGCTACGTCTGTGACACTCCATACTCCTGGTAAGAATCAATTAGAGCCATGCAAACTGACTACTTGGGTCTTCTGAAACTCAGGTTGTGGGCTAATATAACAAGTTATATTTACAAGACAATGTAGTCATAGGAATTGACTAAGTTGCCACTCAAAATGCCCAAGAAAAAGGCATCAAAAGCCAATGAATGCCACTGAAATTTATTCTAATCAGAGCGGTTGCAAATGTTAACCAAATGCTAGACTTGGTTTATCGATCAATGATTAATAGTTAGGAAACCGATTAGAATATAAAACCACGCCACGGGACAAGAAACAAATTTGTGGACTGTAGAACTGTCATTCAGCTTTGGAAGGTGCGGAAGTTGGCCTGCAAACTCCAGTTGTTACAAGTACATCACTCACCTAGTTTTCAACACTACCCGCTCACACAAGCCACTGATCCATTGAGCGGTTTTCGTATAAGTGTCTTCCAGCTTGTCCTGAATGGGCTAATAACTTCATACTGGCTGACTGCAAATGAAATTTCCAAAGGTCTATTCTGAGTTTTTATTGTCAAGGCAACTTTTAAACACTTACCACAAACTTGGGGGAAAACAAATTTAAGTACAGAGTAGAAGAGCATGCACACAGGAACTTGTTGTAATGCAATTACGCATAACCAGTGCCATTTATTCACACACACAC